GATAACTTCAAAATAGTGTCCTGCTTAGTGAGATGGATTAATGTACGATGTTTGAAATTGTGAACAACTTAGGCAGGTATGTGTTATGTTATGGTCATATCTTAAAAAAAAATCTGTGTTGGTAAACCTCAGCTCCAGTGACATCTGAAAGAACTTAGAAATTCAGTTCAAATTCCTTTTGAGTTGGATAGCAAAGCCTAGGAAACTTGCTAAAAAGGCTTGCTTTGCAAGTAGATTCTGCAGATCTAAGTAGTGCTTGTTGGACTGCATCCCAATGCTGGTGAAGAGGACATGTAGCAGATGAGAAGCTCGAGTGCCCAAACTGCAATGGCCTAATCACATCATGATGTATATGGATGGATGCACATGGCAAGGGCTATCCCAGTGACCAAAAAGAAGTTTGCAAAAGGATGCACAGCCTGCAGTCCTTGCCACCATAAATCTTCCTCAGAGTTCTGTAGGAGGAATGGGATTAAAATCGTGAAATCTGACAGCATATTTTTTAATAGCAGGAGGAAAGTTATTTGTAAAATTTAAGCAGAAGCTTAAGGAACCTGGATGTCAGATAAAATATCTGGATAGCTGTACTTGATGTCGTTAGGAGCTGGCCATTATTAAAGAGCTGATCCCAAGCTTGCACTATTCTTCATTTGAAGTGCATATGTAGAGTTATTTGAAAGACAATGGAGCAGGGAATCAGAGGAAGCTTCCCAGGATGGCTGGGAACACACGAGGAGGCCTTGCAGGCTTGTTTGAGCTGCGGGAAGGCTTGCAAGGAGAACTGGTGGTCAAAAGCCCTTTCCTCTGTGTCTAAGCATGGACAGCAGCCTCCCTCTCTGGGTATCACTTAGCGTGGTGAGAGGATTTGCTTTCGTGGTGTTTTCACGCCCTTATTGAAAGCACAGGAAAGGAGAAAAAATCGTGAAGGAGTGCTACTCCTTCATGGAGCTATAAACTACGATTTTAATGTCTTCAAGACTTAACAGATGAGAAGGACTTATTGCCTGGTTCATATTTTAGTCACTGCAAAGGACAACGGGCAGCTTCAGGTTTTGTACTGAAGTAAGAATTTGGACAACAGTGCTCAGGAGCAGAACAAGACAGAACAAGATCCAGAATCTTGAGACAATTTTATTTGGCAAAAACACATTGTTATTCTCTTTGGTGTGTAAAGAACACCCAGGTTTGTATTTTCACAATATTATTGGCATATGTGTCTTCTTAAGATACTTCACGGTAGAAACATTTAATCATGGAGTGTCTAGTCTTTCATGTCCCACCGAAAAAAAAATAAGCATAGATGAAATCATAGCCTGGGCAGCATTGATAGTAGGGGTAAGAAAAGTTAGTGTGCTGAAATAATTCTTGCCTTTCTAGAAATGAAACAGAATATTTCTGTTGTTAAAAATACTTAACAATTGAAAAAATGGTATCACAAGAGTGTTGTAAAACAAAGGATGCAGAGCACATTCCTATATAAAATAAATTTTAGATGTAGGGGTCACTGAATCTCACATCTGAGAGAAATCTCAGTGAAGTATACTAATGATGGTAACACTGGCAAGGTTTTTATACAAACCCACGCATAACAATACTTGTTAAAATGCAGTCTTAGTGTTTCCTTATGCCAACAGCAAATATATGAGCCTGTAGTCCCCTGTGGCCTGGTGGAAAAAATGCTATCAGATAAAGTTTTAATTACATCAAAGTCCCTTGTCTAGAAAATTTAGACTGCCATTTATTTCATACCTGTCTTCTGGGAGATAATAATTGTTAAATACCAAAACAACTTAGTAAGTGAATGGTTTCCATGCTAAATTTGATTTTTCTCTTAGCTGTAGTCTTGTTTTATGTTTTCACTTAACAATTACTTGGGCTTGCTTCAGTAATAGAAGAAGCATGCTCTTTCTGCTTACTGCTAATGTCTGTAATAAATACAGCGTGGTTGTAAAGGCAAAATAATTAGTCTGGCACCTCGTGGCTTTGTAGTAGTTGAAGATACTTCTCTGTATAGTGAGTTAATCATTGATCTCGATGACTTTTACAGAGTATAATTAAAGAACCATGGATTTGATCAGAGAGGCAGGGAATGAGTTTGCCCAAATTAGGTTGTGAGGAAAAAGTAACTCCACTAACAGGAAGAGCATTTCAGATGTCAAGTAAGACATTTACCTGACAAAAAAATAATGTATTAATGGAATGTATACAGTTGTCAAAATCCCTGCTATAAGTAATGGAAAAATACCCACTCTTCAAAAGCCACAAGGAATATAAACCTTTCAAATTGATATTTGAATCTGTAGAATAGCAATAAGAAAATGGAATATAGAGCGAATCATCCAGATCTTGTCAGCTAGAAGTAACATGAATAGTTATGGACAGCCACTGTGAAAATTAAGATTCAGGAATTGATTTAGTATGCCAGGCTGTCCTCTAATTTGTGTTGTTATTAAGGTGAAATATTTAGGTCTCAAGAATGAAGTTTTCCTGCTTTGATTGCTACAGTGCAACTGACAGTTAATCTGGGAAAAAACCCTAAAGTGTTAATTCTCAGGGGAGCTTCTCACCTGGGTCTGCTTGATGTAAATTAGATGCACTGACATGAGTCTGAAAAAATTTATGACAGAGTGGATATCTGTCCACAGAATAATGTTTAATAACCAAGAAAGATGAGGGATTGAATGTTAGCTTTAGAAAAACTCAGTTTAACTAGAAAGAAAGAATCTTCTTCAGTGGACAGTGTTTATGGCCTGACAAAAGACTAGATGGAGAGTTAGTATCTAAAATAGGTATTAAACTTAAGAAGGTTATTAAAAGTTATTGGGTTAATCAGTGGACCGTCTTTCACCTCTCATCTAAGTTTACTTTTCATTGTTAAAAATGGTGGCCTATATCTCCCTGAGAACTCAGTGAAGATAATGCAGTTAGTTTTGATGATGCATGCACGTGCCAAGGTCAAACTCAAAATAGAGGATTTCGGTTTGACCTCTGTGAATTTCCACATGGTAGAATTAGTCAGAACTGTGTTTTTACCCCAAGGAAAACAATGTGTGTTATTAGCAGAGAAGAGTATGACACAAAAATCCAAAACAATAACCTAGCTTTGTATTGGAAGATACTGGTTTGACTTGTGTTTTTCCAAAATATTTGTGTAATATTAGAAATCCCATAGTAATGTATAGTTAACATATCCTTAAAATAGTTGTGTAGATTTTCAATTTTTACAAAATTGATTTTGCTCATTGAATCAGAATAATTATATCTGAAGAGAAAAAGGATTTCCTTGCATAAACTATGCAAATAATAGTAGGATTTGACAGAATAATTGTATTAGACAATGTACAGCTGGACAGTCCCTCAATAAGCACAACTTAATGCAGTACTGAGCCTATTACAAACAGTGCTGGCGGCCCTGCTCAAAAGGGCAGTCAAGGATCAGGGAAGTTGTTTGCTTAGTATCTCTGGAAAAACAAATATTCCTCTCTTTTACAATGTTTTACCACAGACACATAGCAAAACCAATTCACTTAGGACCTTTGGACGTGTTTTAGTAGGCCAAGAGGGTTGAAATGAACTATGTGGGTCATCAAGTTCAGCTTCCAGTAGTTATCATGAGATAGAAATTTAGTTTAGAACTGTCAGACAAAAAAGCTTTTTGTAGAAATCATAGGTTGCTAAACCTTTACAATTTCCTTACAGCAATCTAAAAAAAAAAAAAAAAAACAAACCACCAAAACTTCCTCAACTATTATTCCTTTTTCCTCCAGGAGGAAATAGTCATTCATAACCAATTTTTTGTTTTATTTTGAAACTTTGTATTCAAACCCCATTTTTCTTCAACAGTTGAACTTGATTATGCCATAATAGTTTGGTTTGTAAAATTTACATTTTTTTCAATTCACATACCAATAAAACAGTTATTGTCAGTACAATTGAAGTGCTATGCTTAAATTATGTAGTGGAGTGTAATATAAAACATTATATTCCCTCATGATATATTGTGTTTAGATGCAATGTTACTGCAACAATTGGTGACCCAAATTACTTTCAGTCATTATGGGATACTACATCTACTGTGTGCTGTCAGATGCCAAGAAGTATAAAAATAATTCTATTGTGTAAACAAACAACTAGAAGTTTCCAATCTCGTTACTGTATAAGTTTTATGTTGTTTCGGGCAAGGAAATAAAGTTAGATTTACTAAGCTTAGGTTAGAGTAATAGATAAGCAACCATCCTAAAATAAAATATTAATGAGAAACAATCATAGAGCACTGTTAGACTATGTTAATGAAACAGCCCTATTCTTTGTAAATCCTTACGTTCTAACTGCTTCCTTTTGTGCCACCTGAATATTTATTTTTTCTTATAAGTAAGAAATCTCCATTCAGTACATGGCTATCCTGTTATAAGTAGTTGTACTCCTCGTTGTCTGATACTCCACCACTAGCAAACATGTTTTGTCCTTCAACCCTTTTTCAAGATTAAAAATTGCTGAAGAACATCAGGAAGCAATACTGTTGTGTTTAAGTGGTATCCAGAACTCAAATATGTTTCTAAATGTCATGTCTATCCCTTTTTCTAAAATACATGCTGCTGATAAAATTTTATAGCTTATACACTATTTAGCTACTTAAAATGGTATTACATTTTTAATGTCTGAGTTACAGTCTGTATCTGCAGGAAAAAATAATAATGTAATAAGTGGTATAACAGGTGTGGATAACATGGTGCAACCTTTATAATAATTACAGTTGTCTGCAATATTTTTTTTTTCCCCCGGTAAGTCCCGATAAATATTAATTTAAACAGAATCTTTAAAAAGTCACAAATGTCAACTGTATTCATTCAAGGTATGACTGATTGCAAATATTAGGTGGTTGTATAGCTATTCTGGGCTTTCAGTGTGATTTTGTGGTAGAATATTGTAAACTTACTAAATTGAATAGAGACATTCATGAAAAAAATGCTGAGTTGAACTCCATCCCTTTTTGCTTCCAGCAATTACTTGTCGAAGACAAGACGGAGGACAGGCTGACATCAGTGAATGCCTTAAATACTCTGGTCCATTACCATCCTTAACACAGACGTGCCAAATTCCCTGCCAAGATGACTGTCAGTTTACTAACTGGTCAAAGTTTTCTTCCTGTAATGGAGACTGTGGAGGAGTCAGGACAAGAAAGCGCACTCTTGTTGGTAAGAGTAACCAGATACATAATGCATCTTTTATTAATTATTGCTACTGTTTTGATTAAAACCTGCACTGTTCTGAGGTTCCCTTATGACAAGAAAGCAACATTTGTCATCATGTCAGAAAGCACACCCAATGTCACTGCCATGCTCTATATGGTGGAACAAAAAAATAACCCCTCAGGAGAATAAATAAATTCCTGACATATGTCTCAGATTCCTGATCATGGGGAAGTGGCTAGAGAGAAGATGGGAGAACATAGGAGGCCAGGATTTCTTATAGATGGGGTGCACATAGTAAACAGCAAAGCAGGCCATTTCTTTTCCTGACAGGCAAGTCAGCATTGTCTGTACTTCTAGGGAGGTCAAAAATGAAAGCAGCAAAATTAATCAACAATCCAATCCAGTACAAGGAAACAAAATAAAAAAAAAAAAAGAAATTACCTGCATTTTTGTTGAGCCCTGTGTTATCTTTTCACAAAAAGGGGCACAACTGTTTGCTGTTTAAAAGGTTTTCACACTGTGTTTATTCCAAACCCTGATTCTGCACCCTGCTTCTGTATATAAAATGGGAAGAGAGCTTGGTGGGTTTTGGTTTATGATTTGTACAGAATTATGTCCTTGAGATTATCAATTTGTGCTAAGCATTTAACATAAATATTAAATATAAATATAAGAGGCAGACCTTTGAGGTTACACTCTCAAGCAGTTTCTCAGATCTACAGCTCAAAATAAAGCAACTGTATTTTACTGGTAGTTTTCAGGCAAGTGTTGGACAATTTAGTGAATGCTGAAAATCATGTAACTCACAAACACTACCTGATTGGCTTAATGGTGTAAAAAGCTAAAGACCTTGGCATCTTCAGCATGATGTAGGTAGCATGAGGCACTCAGAGAAGTCTTGGGGTAGGAAATCTTTTCACATCACTCTCAAATCACTTTCAGTCCCAAGCAAGGTTAAACAACTTTAATTCTACTAAGATAAGAAACTAGATTTTGAAAACTGACAATGAAAACCAGAGTGTCCATCAACTCTAATAATTTGTCTTGATTTATGTGTGTTTTCTCAGCTAAGAGTTTAGGGAGCAAGTCTGCAATTTGGTTTTATTCCTCAGCAACCATGATTTCATGCACAAGCCATGTTTTACCAGCATTGTCCAACCAGACTGAATTCTTACCAGATTGAATTAGGTCTGTTTTCCTTGTTTGTTTTCCTTTTTTTTTTTTTTTTTTTTCCTTTTACACTGAACTGTAAAGAGAAAAAAAAAAAAAAAAGTTGAAAACCCCCTGGAGCTTCCAATAGAAAACCTTTTAATAAAAAATCTAGTGAAAGTGGATTATTTATTTATTTATTAAAAAAAAAAAAAAAAAAAAAAAAACAACTGGTAACAGACCAATCAACAATCACCTCTCCTTAACAGGATCAGGTGTTAACTCACTTGCATTCCTCTTCCTACTTCTGGTCTTGACTACACCAGAACTCCCCTCTCAGATGGTGTTTTGGTGCATTTAGAATTACTATGGCAGCTGTGTGCTTTTCAGCCTCTTGCTATAGATGATCATTTTAATCCTTAAACTTTTGTTTATCCCTTTTGAACTTCTTAGTTGCAGTCTTGAATGTCAGATTTATGATTTAGCGAGTCCTTTCCATGGCTTAATGTTTGCTCTCCAAGTTCTTTGTGTTCTCCATTCTTCCATTGCCTTCACAGCAGCTCAGATCATCACATGAGGCAATATATTGCTTAATTTTCTGTCTTATTTCATGACACAACTAAGAATGCTCTTTGTGTAACTTGAAACCTCTTGAGGTTTTATTTAACAGTAAAAACTTTTTCCAGTGATGTCCAGACCTTTGCCACAAACTTATTTGTTCCATGTGATGGACACCCTTCCACTTTGAAATATGTTTTTCTTCAACTTCTTTTAATCTGTTTTATTTGTGGGATTTTTTTTTTTTTGGTTAGTTGGTTGGTTGGTTGGGTTTTTTATTTCTTCTGCATGAAATGAAGATGAAAAAAATATGCCCTGCTTCTAAATTATAACTGAAACCTCAAGAGTGAGACTTGGCCTCTCTGACAGCACTATTTGCCAATTAGTCTGTATTGTCTGTGTTGGAGGAAAGCTAGCTAAGGGGGAGTGCCCATTAGCAGCCTCAGAAAGAATGTGGTAGGATCCAAGCCCTATCCCCCGCTCCATCCCCCGTAAATCAGACCTGTGGACAATGAATAATTCATGATCTTCAAGAAGGCTCAGTGTGACTGTTTTATAACTCCAGTGAACTTTATCCAAGGTTTTCTTCCACGAGGGAACAAATACCCTGACTAACAATATTTTTTATTTTAAAAACAAAGCAAAAAGAACAGCTTCTTTTACCACACTATTAACACTTTGAGGTACTTTCCTGTCCTGAGTTAAGTTACACCTTCAAACTTGCTAAGGCTGTGGTATGTGCTTTACTGTATTCTGTGTGGCAATGTGTAGCCCAGGCTAACACATAAAAATGACTTAGAGTGAATTCATAATTATGGTGAAAATGAGGAGAAGTGTGTTTTTAGTATGAAGATATGTTGTCAAAATAAAGATAAAATTTTCTTCAGGTACCTTTTTTCTATTCTAAATTCAGGCAGTAGTAAATACAAACACTAAGGGTGCTGCAAAGTTGTGGGTGGTACCTTGTTTTGAATAGCAAGGAAAATACTACAGAATATTAATCCACAGTAGTAACAAGCACTTTTAAAACTACTTCTGCAAAGAATTCTACATTAATATATATGATCTGTCTATAATGAGATGGAAAATTGAGCAAACTTTACTAAAGAGAAGATTAAAAATAGATTTAATGGGAAGTGGGAGGTGAGTGGACGGCTGTGCTGAGTTGAGGAAGGATAACAAGGAGAGATCTGAAAAGAAACAAAGTCACAGAAGGAGCTTATTCTATTGGAAGGGAAGAACGGTGATTATTAGCAAACATACAATAACAGGTGATGAAATTAAGGAATTCTGACATTTTGAAATAAGGTGCTACTGTAGCAAAGACACGTTACTTCCTTCTGCAATTTCCTTTAACTTGAGAAAGTTTTTTCCAGACACATTTTTTTTTATTGGACTGCACACTGCTGATGAAATAGGAGAAAAAGTGTATATTTGTTTAATCACTTTTTCAAACTGTAGTCCCCAAGCACTTCTATCCAAAGTACATATAAAAATATGGCTTTATTTTAAAAGATTTTACCTTTGTGCAAATTGTAGGCATCCATTACTTTAGAAGTTAAAGTTATTAACCTAAATAAATAAAGATTAATGTAAGTAGTTTTAGGCATGTGTATTTGATTGTAAGCACTTGTTACAGAAGTCTAAATGAAATTTTTGGGGTGATGTAAACGAATACAAACTTTTTAAAATATTTATTTCTTCTTTCTAGGAAAAAGTAAGAAAAGGGATAAATGCAAAAATTCTCAGTTGTATCCTCTGATTGAGAATCAGTTTTGTCCATGTGACAAGTACAGTGCTCAGCCTGTGGGAAATTGGTCAGATTGTATTTTACCAGAGGGTAAACTGGAATCATTGCTGGGAATGAAGGTACAAGGAGATGTTAAGGAATGTGGACAAGGCTATCGTTACCAAGCCATGGCATGCTATGACCAAAACAATCGACTTGTGGAAACATCACGATGCAACAGTCACGGTATTTAGAAACCTCTTTTCTTTCATGCCTTTACTTATCTGCTTTATTTCATTTAACATAATCTGTGCACAGGTAGAATTAGGAGGTTAAACTTTGTTGCTTAGGCTGCATTTTATCTCAAGGTACTTCCAAACCCAGAACACGTTTTTGCTGACTCACAAAATAGCAAACTTAATTTTTACTGATTACTACAGTGCAATATTTAGAAGTAAAATCATGGTTAATTACTAACTAGATAAAGTAATATCTTGGTGTTTTTTCTGATAACTGTACCTGCAAAATTGAAAATAAAGGTATTTCAAAGGGTCAGATCATCAAAAAATAAACAGCATAGGATTATTTTAGAAAGGCTGAAATTATTTCCACATATTCCTTAGATAGCTTTTATCTCCTTAAATAACCTTATCTCTACCGTTTGCTCTTCAGAAAATTCACAGGCATGCACTGACCTGAGTTTAACTGCACACACTATCTCTTTGTAATTGTCATGTGTAAAATTAGGATGTTTAAAGACTTTATAATTGTATTCACATTCCTGCCGGAGGGAACAGTGTTCCCTTCATAAAATGGATGCATCTGTAATGTTAGGATCAAAACTGGCACTTTCTGATTTTCAGTGATCCAGAAGTGTGCTAATTTACATCACTGGAGTTTTTGTGTTCATTTGTTTTCCTGCTTGCAGTGCAAAATTGTATCTGAGCTATTGGTATGAAAAGCTAGCTGGATGCTAGTCTAAGTGCCATTAAAAGGTCAATGTAAGCTTAATTTGTATATGTATTTGATTTTCTAATGTTAAAATAAGATAACAAATTTCATTTATTTACTTGGATAAAGTTAAAATATCTAATCAAAGAAATTAAATGACTTAAGAGGATTTTAATTAGCACTATTAATTAATGTTTAGAGCTATGATAAATTTGAAACTAAATGTATCAAGCCAAGATGTAGCTGTAACATATCTTTGTGATTCAATGGAAAAGTGAGCATTCAGATTAATATCTCAAAGCAAAGCTGCAAGATAATTTTGTGAAGAATTTTCTCCCATATTGACTTTTATTCAAAATCATCTTTTGCTATAGATAACTCATATTGAAATATAACTTTGTATAAATACATCTGAATGACAAACTCTAAATCCTAAGCTCTCATGGGACAGGAAATCTCTTTTTCTACTCTGAGCGTGTTCTTTAATTCTGTTCTCAGCTGTTTGGGTTGAAAGTCTGCAAAGATTTAGTTTTATTCTTTTGTGTAGTCTGAAGAGGATATGCTGCACTTGTTTAGTCTGAGAAGGACCACTTGCCATCTTTGTAGTACCAAAAGATGCAGATACATCTAACTACCAGCAGTTGTGTGAGCACAGATCTGCCTGGACTGGGTGGTAGTTGTCCTGAGGGAATTAGAAAGCTCCTCAGAAAGCTGGTAGGGAATGCTGAAAAAAGTGTCACAGAACAATCTGAATTGTTCAGAAAAATATCTGTTGATGCTTTTTAGAATTTATGTGACACTATCTTAGAAATTAGTATTCTTTCAGCATTAAGTCCAGAGTGACCTTTGGAAAGTGGAAAATTATAAAAGAATTTCAGTCTGTGGGAAACTAGAGGGACTGATGGCCTATTGCCAGTCAGTTTTCATTGACTTGAAGAATGGAGACTGTCAGGTTTTGTGTCAACGGCCAAGGGAGGATACATGAGGGAAGAAGCTGTCTGTCCAAGAGCAAATTATGGGTGTTGTATGTGGTAGGTAACAATCTGCTTGCAGTAGCTTGCAAAAAGAGGTGGGAACCCTTTCTTTGTGTAGATTGAGCATGGACATAGATGCTTTCAAGCCCTGATAGTGCACATCGAGGTACAATTACATTGCAAGAATCAGAGAGATATGAAAGATGAATAAAAAATGGAAAAAAAGTATATTTTCAACCATCTTTATTTACCCTGTTATAACTCTTCGTGATAGCAATTTCTAATCTAATGGACTTTACCAGTGATTATCACCTACACTCACAGTGATCACAATGAATGATACCAGCAGAAAAGCTACTAACAATATATTGTTATACCTACTATAGCCAGAGCCACTGTTCACATGCTATTAGTATTAGCAGACTCCAGAGACAACCTTCTCAAAACACAATATAGCATTTCTTTGTTTTCTTATTTCTTTCTACAGATCCATCACATTTTTCTCGCAGGAGATTTGAAGTCTTTTTTAGCTTTCTTTGTAAAGTGGGAATATTTGTGAGTCATTACTATATTCATTGTAGGTTTGGAAGCCTGAACCTTTTGTTTTTTTCAGGTTGTTTTATTTTGAATCCTTTAGATCAGTTTATGGAAGTGTCTGGTTCTTTGATTATTTTTTCCCCCTTTTTTCATTACCTGATTTTGATAGCGAAGCACAAAGCATCTGTGTGTGTTTTCTCATCAGTTCCGTTTGAGGGAGCAAGTACTTTCATCTTGGTCCGTGGTGTAGTGTGTGGGCAGATGAAGCTTAGAACTGTTGTTGAACTAATCCTGCATTCCTTACTCTTCCTGACATTGTTTAACAGGAATTTCAGGTGTACAGGGAATGAGGTATCTAACCTAACTTTGATGGTAAGGAATTACACTCCTGCTAAGGAATATGTCAGTAAAATTATGGTTTCCTTTCCAGTAGCTCTTCTAGAACAAAAATCTGTTATTGATAGCTGTTTTACATACACGTAGTACAGACTATTTCTAAGGCTTTGTCATGGTTCTTGTCAGATTTGTTGTATAGGACTCTGTACGGCTGCCTTCTGCCTCCGATGTTTTGCTGTCAGATCCAGAGACCTGCTCTTCCCCTTGAGGGTACTGAGTAGTGTTGAACGCAATTTATTGTCTGCCTTTAGCATTTTGCCAGGTTTACCATGCTTTTACAGATACAAGATATAGACATTTCACTCTAATTTCAGTATATGTTGGCTGCCTTTTCTGAATATCTGCTTTGTATTCATGGATTACATTCTGATGATTTGCTTTATTTTCCTCAACATGTATAAAATTCTGTTTGGCCAGTTAAATCTTATTTTATATCTTGCCAGTATTTATGATGTTTTTGTTGTTATTCTCATGCCCTCAGTGTATGACAGTTCTCCAGTTTAGTATCATCTCTAGATTTCAGTCTGCTGTTTGTTTTTATCTTTAAGAACAAACATAAAAGCTGTATTATGACAAATCAGCAGGGGACTTCCCTGGTATCACAATAGTTACCCCACTTGCTAACAAATAAAAGTGCCTTGTAGCTTCCCATCAATCTGCTTTTAGTTTTTCAAGCTAAACTTGACAGGACTCATAATTCAAGCCTGCTTGGGTTATGTTTGTAAATTCTAAGAGTTGCTTATTTCCCTATGGAAATAATAACACTGAATTTTTCACTAATTTTGTAAGCGATCCAAAGAAGAGTTGGGTTTGTCTGCTATTTTATATACTTTATTCAGAGATCTGTTTTTCTCTTAGTTCCTGTAAGTCTGTTAATTCTTTTTCAGGTAGTAAAATATGTAATCACAGTTTTTATGGGATATGATTTGGCAAATTATCTTGGACCATTATTTAAGGGAAGATGTTTCCTGTGCAGTGTCTAGCTTTTACTTGAACTTTTTTTATCTCCTGATGCTATGAGATCACAAGTTGGGAAATGGGGATAATTGTACTTCTTCACCTGTGACAATATCCTATAAATCTGACAAGAGGAACAAACTACACCCACACTGATGTTATTAATATATTATGGGATATGTTGTGTGATATGCTAAAATGGCACAAGAAACTCAAATTGTGAGACTGTAAAAAGTTTTATGTAAATACTGCCATGTAAATTTATGAGGCCATGAACAGGTCACTGTTGCAAGTCATGCTGTTTTGAGTGGGAGAAATCAGAAGACAGATCTGCTCTGCAGTGCTAAAAAATTCATAAGCTGTTTATTTTGCAAAATGTTGTGTCCTTATAATCAAAATTCAGTTGACTTACTCAGAAGAGGAAAGGTACACAGCAGCAGAAGAATAAATACTTAAGAGCTCTTTTTACTGCTTGACACATCTGATTTTAAAAAAAATTTTAGAAGAGTTAACTAACAGTTTCACAGACACCAAGAAGCTAAAGGTAGGATGCAACACAAGGAAGGCCCTAAATTAGTAAACCCATAAGAGGATTCTTCTGATAATCTTTGAAATTTTGGGTGCAGTTATAAAGTCCCAAGTACAAACAAGTTTCTCAGAAAGACAGGCGTGACCGTAACAAAAAAGGAAAGGCAAAATATGGTTAAATAAATCTGCTGTTACTGCTAGGTGAGAACACTGGAGAAGCAGAGGGCAGAGTTCGTCTGAAGAGGGTCCGTAGCTTTCTGTAGGTTAACAGGTGCTTCAAAAGAAATCCCAGACTAACAGCTGAAAATAGACCTAAGTTTCAGCTGCAGAGGGATAAGGTGGTTTTTTTTTTTATTTTATTTTATTTTTTATCTGTGGGTTTTTTTTCAGTATTATATATGCCTAATATTTTGATTTTTCTTTAAAAAATATTTTGTTTCAAATTTGAGCTAAATTTATTGATAAAAGACTTAGCACCATTTATCAGTCATTTGAAATATTCTGCCACTGGTATTTTTCAGCATACCAGTTCTGTGGAGTGGGCAGGAGCTATCAGCTGACAGCTGTCAGCAGATGTGGTAATGTCAGCTAAAAGTGATAACTGAGCTGTTGTTTACCTGTTTTCCTTAATGGAAGACACATAAATTGCCCTTTCTTTGGTTCCTGCTTTGTTTCAGTTCTACACAGGTAATTTTGCTGGAGAAATACAAAAATGTATAGTTTTCTTGACAGTCAAGTGTAAGATGGGGTTTCTTCTATTAAAAAGCAGCAGTTGTTTTTCATAGCTTTATCCCTGTCATCACTAGTGTACTGGAGTTCTGTGGATAATGACATGTGTCTTCCAACAATCTGTTTCAGTGTGTCTGCGAAAAAAAATTGAGTCACTTAATGGCCCCTTTAAAC